ACCCATCTGTTCATCCACCCACCCATCCAACCATTAAGTGCTGCTGAATCACAGTCAGGTGGCAGCAGCATTTTCAGCTCCACCTGGAGGATCCTGAGGATTTCCCAGACCAGATGAGACATATAATCTAACAGCGGGTTCTAGGTCTGCCCCTGGGTCTCCTTCTAAAACTGTAATTGCCCAGAAAACCTGGAAAGTAAAGAGGTCAGGATGCATCCTGATCATGTGGCTCCATGCTCCACTCCTTTACGCACCAACATGCAACCACCCAAAGATCATGAGCACATGTCAGCGTCTAATACTTAAGAAGCTTCACATTCACAGCTGACTCTTTTTAAACATGATCATCATCATAATCTCACCATTTTTCTGATGAGAACACATGAACTTTTATATTAGTATAAACTGCCAACAAATCCAGCTGAAAAGGCCTGAACAGGCTGCTCCTCCTGTCATTAAAATCCCATCATCTTCCTTATTTTTTAAAGAGGATCTAAAGGTACCTCAGTGTGAAATTCACATCAACCCCAACATGTAGCCTGTTTGAGAACCTGTATAATGACAGGAAGAAATGAAAGGATCAGGCGAGCTCCTCCACGCTAGCTTATAAATGCACCACCGTGATGTCAGATATTGGTAGGTTCAAATGGAGAGGAGCACAAGTCTTTATTAAAACGCTTGTTTCAATGTACGTATTGATGTACCGACTACTATCACTGGATTGCTGTGACTCTGATCATGATTTATGATTTATTTCCTCTTTGTTTTGTTTTGTCTGCTTGAGTCTCACCATCTGTACAGATGCTGGCGTTTCCCACCAGAACAGTAACTTAAATTAGCACGGAGCTGCTCACGAATGCAGCGACAGTAGTTTAATAAGAGCTGTTGATACCTCCTGACCAGTAGAAGGTGCCAATGTCCTGTTAATACCTGTTGCTGTACCTGATGATTAGCAGCTTGTAATTATGGCTCTGTACACGGAATAGTTTGCCACATTCGAAGGTCTTCGACTCAAGTTTCTACGTGTATTAGAAGTATTACATGGTACGGGAAGTAGAAGTATAAAAAAGTAGAAGTAAAATATAAAGCTGGCAGAGGTTTGGCCTTTCATGTTGTGCCTGAGAGCCTGGAGCCGGACGATAAACCGGACACATGGAAGATTGCACTTCTAGCCTTTGCTGGACCTCCAGTCTTAGAAAAGTTCAACACATTTTTATTCACCGACGTTTGACAAGGTTGTTGCAAAGTTTGATGAACACTGCTCGTTCAGTTGCACACAGAGCTACCGAAGCTTTGATTCTATTATTATAGACCTGGAGTTAAATGTATTAGACATTTTATATTTTATTTTCAACCTTTGCTGGCTTTTCCTTTTTTATTTTTAAAGTGAACAACATCAGGGATCATCCGGTATTAAAGCTCCTACAGGTTAACCCAGTCTATGAAGACATTTTTACATCATCTCATGAACAATTTAAAATGTAAATTATTTTATCAATGTTTCCATTCACTGTTGTGTGGAATAATGTTGTTGGCTAATAAAGACAATCAGCAGGTACAAAAAGATGACACTTGAAACATTGTGGAAAACATATAAAAAGATATTTTCTTCCTATTTTTCCAAATGACTGCAGCAATCTGTTGCATCTATGTGGAAAACCAAAATGACGCCCATACATTCAAAGACATGTAACAAGGCTGGCAGCTGTTGACTCACTGGTCTTAGCACCTTCATGCTGATTAGCACTTACTGTGAGGTTATTTTATGCTCCAGATTGTTGTCCTACTCTGTGCAGGAGAAGATCATTTAAATTAACAAAAGAAACACGGGGAGGACAGGAGAAAAGTGGTGGGAAAAGGCAGCGTAAATTTTGCATAAATGCACCAGGATGCATGTTATCGGAACATGCAGAGCGCGGCTGCGCTTTCAGATAACATGCAGCTCCACGCTCACTGCTGAGAGCTGTGTCCATTTTTTTGCACAAGGACTGATCTATAGCCGGCTCAGACCATTTAAATCGTACGCATGTGCTATTTTATGTTATTTTCTGTGCCGTTCATTTATATCTAGTGGCTGCTCTAAACTTTTAGCTGACACACAGTTACATCCACTCACTGAGGTGAAGAGCCAGATATGTGTTTGTCCTTAAAATTGACAGATTTGCTTCTTGGTTTGCGCTCTGGCTGCAGCCAGCGTGGCACTGCTTTCACACATCAATGTACCCGCGAGCTTTTTGTTACTAAAGCAGCCACTGTTGGGTTTTTAGTGCGTACTTGACTCACTGAACAATCCAAACCATATGGTATGAACACGTTTCTCTGACAGTTCAGATCTTTAACAGCATGTTTACTCCGTGTGCAAATAGCACTGAACACTGACTTTTCATCAGCGAGTTGCACATAAAACATCTGGAAAGGAAACTCTTCTAACAGAAACATGTTGCATGTTAGAGACTGGATTTGAAAACTATTCTGGGTTCTGATATGAAACTTTTTTAGCATGTAGCTAAAGGCTAGATTATACTCTATTGTGGATGCTGGACAGCTGGAGACCCCACGGCCGAGTCATTCCTGTTACATTGTTTGACATCTGCTTGAAGTCTGCTGCCTGATCCGAGTGGACCCTTACTGCCTTGCAGACGTGGAAAGTATGATTCCTTCTTCAAACTAGACCTAACATTACTCCCTGCCTCTAAATATTGACCTTAGGGATGATAGGAGGTTAATGCCAAGCTGTCAAATTTTATTTACGCAATATAAATGTCAAAAGATGCCCTCCACCATCTGAAAAAGATGCGGTGTGACCCACCACTCTGATATTCACGACTATGGAGGCAAAGCTCCATAGTCGTGAACTTTTCATCTACTAATTGGAAGGTTTGTGGTTCAATTCCTGGCTGCCCCAGTCTGCATACCAAACATCATCTGGCAAGACACTAACCCCATCTCCGATGCACCTGCTGCAGTGTGAATGTTCAATAGAAAGCAATTATGTAGAAAAACTATAGAAAAGGTTTTTGTATGAACGGCTGACTGAGGCGAGTGCTCAGGTAAAGTAGAAACGCGCTGTATAAGAACCAGCTTCCTGCATGCTAGAAAATACACAAATCCTTGCTTTATAGAACTGCATTAATTCTTTGCTTTAGTCCATCATGCTAATGTAATGCTCTGTAATTGCATCAAGCTTGCTAATGCATTGCCAGTATTCCTGAAATGAAGACATATGCCATTTTTCTCATTTTCACAGCTCTGATCATCGGCTCGGAAGTCTTCAGCCGTTCCTGCGTGCGTTCCAACACAGTCCGCTCACTTCCACTCACGATGGCAGAGCAACACAAACACAGCAGAGCAACATCGCCCAGTACAGCAAAGGCTCTTATCCAGTGGATTAAATGTGTTGCCAAGGAGGAGTTGACCAAACTCGCATTGATTAAGTATTGCATATGTGTCATATCAGGATATCCTGCAGAGTTTCACCAAAAAACTGTTAAAGTAAAAGCACATCACAGCCTGTGTTCCTCTTTCACTGTAAAACCTCGAGTGAAATTTGTTTAGCTACCAAAGTGTGCCCGCGCATTAAAAAGCAACCTTAAAACCAGTTAAAGGCCTGTGCAGCATCACATTAGCTATGAACTGGCATAGATTGAATTTGAAGACGTTTCACATTCGATTATTTACCGTCTGCTTCTCAGCTGACTGCTGAGAAACAGACCGACTGCGTCACTGACACAAATCAGGACCAGCTACCATGAAACAGTCTGATAACACAGTGACTTCACAACAATCTTCATCTTTGATAAGAACAAAAAAAACATTTATTTAGCCTAAAATGTTTATTTTCTTAAAGAACGTTGTGCTAGAAACGACAGTGTCCACATTTAGGAAATCACAGAGCCTTACAGGGGAAAAAGGATATTTTTCACTTTCCCTTATTGGGCGAAACAGAAAATGCCACAAATGCTCTGCGGAGTACAAAATAGTCATTAATCTGCCGATGAAATTAGTCCCCAAGAATGCACTGTTTACTTGAGCGGCTGTTTCAGAATAAAAACATCAACTTTTACATGAGTGAGGTGTTTTTAAAGTTGTACACCTCTCGTAATGGATTGAAGCCAGACGTGAGGTCACAAAGTATCAAGACTACAAAAGACGTTCGAGCGTGCAATGGCATCAAAAATTCCTGACTTGCACGATTTGAATCTTTCCTATCGACTCTCAATGAAACTTTAAAAGGTAAAAGAAGACAATAAGTGAGTTAGGAGCCCCTGTTGGAGGTTTAAAGAGTTTCAGGACTGCAGAAGCAGGAGGTGTGTGAATATTAATGAGCACAGTGTGCGCACATGTATGTGTGTGCACGCATGCATATGACAAGTGTTCAAGCGGCAGGTGTGTGTCTGTGTGTGTATGCGAGACTGCTAACCACTGTTAATAGCAAACACACAGAACTTCATCACTAATTCATACAGCTGGATTACGTCAACCTCAACACGCAGGCGCACACACACACACACACACACACACACACACACACACACAAAGGAAAATTATCCACATTTATCTGCTTCTATCTTCTATCTAAATCTTAATCTTGAGGCTTTGTCTTAATTATTTGTCATAAATTGGTGAACTTGCTGTCTCCTGTTTACCCCAAACACCTCAAACCTTTCTTTTCTATTCTTCTCTATTCTGTTTTATTCAGTTCTATTCTTCCTCCCTCGTCCTGTTCTGCTCTTTTCTATCTACAGTTTTCAGTCACAAACGCCACTTTTTCTTCTTTGCTCCTCTTTATTCCAAGTTTTCTACTCTGATTTTATTCTCTTCACCTCCTCGCTCCAAACTCTTACTCACCCCCTCCCACCCCCCACCCCTCTCCACCCCCACCCCTCTCCACCACGCCATCCCGTCCCGCTCCTCTTCCTCCACTCGACTTTTCCACTCCCTTCTTATTCTATTCTCAGCAGTGGTAGCGGTGTATCTGGAGCAGTTTCCATCCTACTTACCACAGCTGCTGGTGCTGGTGCGGCTGCTGATGATGAAGGTGAAGAGTGAGGCGAGGAGGAAGAGGAGGCAGGTTTTCCAGGTGAAACCACTGTGGACGGGTGCAGGAGGACAGAAGAAGAAGAATAAAAAAGAAGAAGAAGTAGGAGGAAGAAGAGGAGGAGTGTTGTTTTACTGTCTCAGATCTGTCCCGCTCTGCTGCCGCGGCAACAACCACATCTCCTGTCATCCCTCTCTGTCTAACTCTCTTTCTCTCTCTCTCTCTCTCTCTCTCTTTCACTCTCTCTCTCTCTCTCTCTCTCTCTCTCTCTCTCTCTCTGTGGCTCCAACTCCCACTCACACACACACACTCCCCCTGTCTCCTTTTCATTTTCTCACTCTCCTCTCTCTCTCTCTGTTCGTT